AAGAAGGATATAACCCTAATTATCAGGATATGGCTGTTCTCGAGGCTGTACGAGGATGGGACAGTTTGAACCCCGATGCGAAGAAAGAGGAACCCTCGGAATCAGGCGAGCAAGCTAGTACACCAGCGCCACAAGAGCCCGAAACAAATGAATGGAATGAATCCACTATCTCGTCTCTTTTGAAAGAGGACATCGTTTCTCTACTATTGCAGCACGACGCACATATAGCAGAAGAGGACGGCTCTTCGGAGGGTCAGTGAATGTTACTTCTTCATTCGGTCTTAATATTCATGACGAGTATTTTAATATTGGTTTAGGATGTTATGTGGAACCGGTGCTGTTTCTTATGTGCTTGAAGAGTGCAATGAGATGACAACTGAAGGGCAATTATTCTCACCAATGCAAGTTTCAAAGGAAAGTCTAGTGAGTCGCCGAGCAACAGAAGAATGGGAATATTGGCACAATCAGTACCATTCGATACATGTCGGAGACCCTCAACCTGTCGAACGACTACTAGGAGACACAGTCGGTGCGGTGGTCTGGTGTGAGAATAGTGATATAGCAGCCGGGGTGTCCAGGTTTGTAAATCTAATGCTACTTGATGACACTTACCTATTTTAACTCCAGTGGTGGTCTACTCCTCAAATACCCTGGACGTATTGGTGAGGTGAGGTCAACCATTGTCCTTGAACATGTGTCTGAGAACACAGGCTGCGCTTCATGGCGCTGGATGCTGGGCCGAGTCCAGCAAGAATCCGGACGGGCCTCTCACTGGGATCGGTTCCAGTGTATCCGGTAGTTGCGCTAGTATTCCTCTGTTGAACGGGTCTGAACTCTAACAGGGACAGGCGAGCAAATCATATCCGGTAATATTGCAAGAAAAATAGGGGAGGGTTGCAACCCTGCGCGATGTGATGACAGTATTGAAGCGTTAACTTCCATCTTTGAGACCTTCATCGGTATGGTCGTGTGACGGGGAAGTAATCCCCAGCTGATACAGCAACAGAATCACAAAAAGGCAATGAGCATGAAAATCAAATTAATGTTCAAGTGGGTGCCATAACGATGACTCTGGACGAAGAGGAAGATGGGATGAGATCCAGTAAGGAGACAAAAGACCTCGCTCACCAGTCGTTGAGCAAAGATTTAGCCCGCCTATTTGTCGCATTTACTACATCCTCTATGGCAGTGGCAAGCTTTACGTCTGAGGATAATGAGCCCTCGGTAAGTTGGAACATATTCAAAACACCACTGGGACCAATGAATATTTCAGGCAAGCATACGTAGACAAAGGAGACATCCCGGAGATTCTGAGACCCCAATATACCTTTCTGTGACTAGATTGATGAGCTTTTGACAATGTCGAGTTTCTAAACGTTTCGCCACCTAGTGAATGCAAAGGTGCATCGAAGTTGGGTGGCCAAGTTGTGAAAGAGATGGCATAAACTTCCAAATATTAAATAGTAATGAATTGTTAATTGAGCGATATACCGTCACCTATAGGTGTGCTACGTGGCCCTATGGGAACGACGAGAGACAAGTGGTATTTCAGACTCCGCTGGTAGAAATTGACATTCAACTCTCTCAATCCACTCTTTAGGAATGCTACCGCTGCCGTTAACTCTATTATCACTTCTTTTTCCTGTAACAGCATCTGTTGCTGTCTCGGGGGAATCCGTAAATGACAAACTCCGCGGTGTCTTGCCAGCTCGGCAGTCATTATACGTGCCTTCCGGTGCGGGAACTTGGAAATGTCTTAGTGGAGACAAGGAAATTCCATGGTCGAAGGTGAATGACGATTTTTGCGACTGTCCAGACGGCAGTGACGAACCAGGTAAGATGGATTCGTTCTTCGGACTTTTGGCCAGTGTTGTTTAAGGCTCACACCGACGCCCGTAGGAACCAGCGCATGCCCAAATTCCACATTCTATTGTATAAATGAAGGTCACGAAGGTGCAAGCATCCCTAGCTCGAGAGTAAACGACGGTTTATGCGGTATGTATCTTCTGTCTCGCCATTCCACGAAAGCTAAGACTAGTGGCCACTTTAGAAAAGGAATGCTGTGACGGATCCGACGAGTCCTTCGGAGTCTGTCCTAATATATGCGAAGAAGTTGGAAAGGAGCATAGAAAGAAACTTGAAGCGGAGGCCAAGCTCAGAAGAACGGTATGTTTGACCTAGACAATCTTATCCAGATTCTAAATCTCGTAAAGGGTGCCAAAATACGCTCCACCTATATCGCCTTCGCTGAGAAGGAGAAGAAACGGGTTCAGGCCTCCATTGCTGCCCTGAAAGCAGAAGTTGAAGCCAAGAAGAGGGAGGAAAGTCACGCCAAAAGTAAGAAATGCTATCTTTACCAGTCTTTTGATCATTAACAATGCTTTTATAGTTCTACTTGATCATACGGAGTCCATGTCTCAAGCATCTTTAAATCACAAAAAACAGTCTCGTAAGCGCCTTCATCTACCTTCCACTCTGTCTGGAATCCCTCTGAATCCTGTATTAGCACTATTCCAGTCGCTCGAAAAGCACTCCAACGCTCTCAAATCACTGCAAACTCAGTATAAGAGTCTTCAGGAGAGGGAAAAACAACTATCGGATGTATTGCGTAACCTCAAAGAAGGATATAACCCTAATTATCAGGATATGGCTGTTCTCGAGGCTGTACGAGGATGGGACAGTTTGAACCCCGAT